AAAATAGAAAAAAATTTAAGTTGACTTAAAGAATATTTTATTGTGGTAATGTGTGGTTAAAAATGAGTATGAAAAAAAATAATTACCAAACAGTGACTAAAAGCATCTTGTTGTTTAGGCATTTCTTAAAAGAGATTTTTCTATTGGTCCAAGTCATCGGTACTGCTTGGTTGACACTTGTAATTATGTTAAAGGAGAAATGTAGATAATGGAATATGAAGTGCCCAATGAAAACATGCACACGCATTTTAAAACACGGTAAAAATTCATTGGCTTTTCAAATCGTTATCTCTAAGTGGAGTGGAGGGATTGCTCCCACGTAATGATGATGGGTTTTAGATGTATAATAATCCTTTTCTTACTACAAATCCAGAATTAAGGACCAAACCAGTAATGAAATGATTTTTATGATAATCTAAGAAAAGGAAAAAAGATGGGGACAGACCGACGGAAATGCGCTTCTTCTAGATTGTCTCTCTCATCTACTTTTGAAATTTTATATCATGTACCAATTTCAAGTAAAATTTTAATAACATATTAGAGATATTGGAGAAAAAGTATTCATAATTTCGGATAGGGGCCCCAAAAGACCATTTTGGAAAGAGAACGATGAGAGGAACAATAAACACTGCTACGTAGTGATGTACGATGAATTTCGACCATTCGAGTTCGCTTAGGACCCAAAAAATGATTTTTAAAATTTTGATACTATTTTTGTCAATTCATTTATTTTGGGTTTTTATTATTTTGTTTTTCATTATTTTTAGTTGTTTTAAACTATGTTTCCATGTAAATCCTTATAAATAAGGAGTTAGTTCGTTTTTTTCATCATCATTCATCAATAAAATTCGTGAAATTTGTTTTCTCCTTAATTTGGTAGATTTCAAATTTCGTAATCTAAAAGTTTTCGTTTGAATTTCTTTTCTCGTTGTGTCAGTCACTATCCATCAATTTGGAATTTAAGCGTTTGATAAAATTTATAAACTATTCATAAATCTTTAAACTTCATTTTCACCTACATATTTTAATTTGAAATTTCAATTCTATCTATTTGGCGCATGAGTTGAAATTTGAAATTTAAATTGAATACACGTAAACGTGAAGGAGCTGGAGGTGTAATTTTCAGTACTGGGACATTTTTGTCAATCAAGACTGAAAGGAACATCTATCGAGAAAATGGATAAAGTATGTCTGGATAAACTTTAAGAAAAAGTAAAATTATCTTTTAGAATAATTAACTATTTTATTTTAAGTACAGAAAATTCTTTTCTTGTAATTAATTATTACATTTTTGTCAAAAATAAACAATTTTTTACTGCTTTTAACTCGGACTAAAAAGAAACTATTTATTTTAAATTTGTTTTCATTTATTTATGAGTAAAAATTTTAAGCATAGTCAAACTCGATGTAGGTGCAAATTTGGCTAAGCTTAAAAAAGAGTAAGTTTTAAGATATATAGTGCTTGTTTGGTGAGGATTTGGTTAATTGATCTTTTGATCGTTAGAAATAAAGTGAGTCCAATCTGTGAGAGATAAATTCAAAAATGATAGCTGAAATAATAAAATAATTGTTAAAAAAATTATTATAATTGATTTAAAATCTGTACCAAGCAAACTCATATATATATATAAACAAAAAAGGTTCAAATATGTTGATAGGCTAAGTTACTTCTAATGACATCTCCAATAATCTCTTTATTTTTAAAAGGTATATTGTAAACAGTAGAGAGCATATTTAAATTTTAAAAGTAAAAAAAATGAACAAGCTCTTTATTTTACATTTCAAATGACGTTATTGTTTTTTCCTCCTTTTTAATCAATACATATTTTGAAATGTCTATAATAAATAAAATTAAAGATGATTTGAATAATTCAAGACACTTGAAATTTACAACTTATTAAGCCTCTATTTGATAAGGATTAAAATTTAGATCTTAATCTAAGTCAAAATTAATAATTAATTTTAAGTACATATTTCATACGATTCACAACTTTTGAACAACACTTTTTCATCAATTTTTTAAATTGAGATTTATTAAAAGTTTGATTTTAATCCTCACTAAAAGGAATTAATATAATCATTATAAAATATAAATAGAGTGTGTTTGACTCTCTAAAATTTACGACATGCGCTCAATTAAATTGAAAGTTTTTTTTAATTTCATCATCGCCTCCAAACGAGTCTCTAATTCAAGTTACTAACCTTGCTTTTATCAATTGAATTAGACATTAATCATTAAACATAAAAGTTACATCAATTTTTATTGTTGTATTTTTAGGTCAAATTTCTTAGGATACTTTGTGTTAGAATCTAAATGTTAAACGTAAATCTATAGGGTGCCTAAACTGCCTATGAACAATTCTCTTGTAAAAGGAGAATTATTCTTCGCTCAACACACTCAATATTAGATAGATAATCTTTTTCTAGGAGTTAACTCTTTATAAATTCTAGTGAGTCTAAATTTTCAACTGTAGTGAATCAAACTCACCTTGTATATAAAACTTGTGGTGCTATTATTTATCTTAAAATTCTTCATGCATGTCTTTCAAAATAAAGAGAAAATAATAAAACAAAAAGAGGAAACTAGGGAAAAAAAGAAAAAGAAAAAAATTAAGTGATAATTGCTTATTTGCTTATGGGAAAAAAATAAAGATTAAAAATAAAAACCTTTCAGTGCTTTTATTTGTTATTTTACAATTCCTCATGTATCTCTTTCAAAATAGATAGAAAATATTAAAATAAAAAAGAGGGAAACTAAGTAAAAAAAATTGAATGATAATTATTTATAAAATTATCAAAATAAAGATTAAATCTAAACAATATTGTTGAACTTGTATAAAAATTTGAAAAATGTTTGAGGTACAAAACGGTGTCCAAAAGGGTGCCCAAATGGACACTCGGCACCTTGGTATTGGCTGAGGCGTCTGTGGGTCCAGGCGTGGTCGGCCAATGCCGAGGTGCCGTTGGACACACGAGTTTGTACTCATAGTAAATTCGTAAAAATTTAGATGCTCTTATGAACACGGTTTTGCTGGTTTTGTACCCATAGCAAAAGCGTAAAAATTTAGATGCTCCTTTGAATAAGAAAAGATACTCTTAAAGGAAATATTCCAAGGTTCTTTATCCTTTTGTCGTAGCAGCATAGTCATTGATGACTCTTGTGTTTGCTTTCCCAAATATCAAAAAGAGTACTGATTTATTTATTTATTTAAATATTATCATTTCGGTCCACATTTTAATAAAACACATTGAATAACCCTCCTCGTGAGTCTCGAGAGTTGGTAGGTGAATTCTGGAAAACAGTAAAAATATCTATATTAATGCGGGAAATTTGAAATTGGTCAATTCTATTCTAGATATTCTGCAAAGAAGAAATAAACTTCCACCTACCAATTGGTAGGTGAAACTAGTGGCCGACGAATTGACTACCAAACAGAGCTCTGCACCTCCCATATCCGAGATTAGATTTTTGAAAAAATAAAGACACGTGTCGTTCTTATGTAAGTTTAAATTAATAGAATCTTCATTTCAATTTTTTAAATAAATATACACCGTTTATCTTATATTTTCATTTTCTAAAATTTATTTTTTCTTGAAATTCATTTTTAATCACATATCTTATGAATTTATAACTTTTATCAACTTTTGTATCGCATATTTGATCAATTTCAGGGCTGACCTTGATATTTTGGGGACCTTAAGCCAACTTTAGATATGAGCCCTATTGAAGAAAAATTATTGTATTCTTACTTGAGTCTTCTTATATAGAGTTTTAGTATAATCTCGAAGAATCTAATACAAACAACTAAACGCCAAAATTTGAAGAGGAAAATAACAAAATATAAAAATACAACATGCAATACAAATTAGAAGTGAAGTTTGACATACAGAACTATAATGAAATGACAGAGGGATCTGTTTGTTTCTTTAATCATTTTATCATTGCAACTATTTAAAAGAAAATTGAATTGTATTTGAGTGATTTATGTATAAACAATCGGAGAATATTTATTGCGAGATAGTGTATAACAAAATAACGAAAATTATGGTGGGTTATTGTTGGACATGAAATTTGAAGAGACATAGAAATCATTGTTGTTTGGTTAAGAAAAGAAATTGGATATTTGGACGGTCAAATTATCTATAGAGAGATAGAGAGTGTGTAATGTTTGGATGTGATAAGTTTTATGCTATTTACATGATGAATCATTCTATTTTAAAGAATTCCATAAATATAATTCTTTTTTCAATTAATTAACTTTACATAATTTGAGGCCTTCATCAAAGTGGGGCATTAGGCTATCGTCTATCCCACTTATAGTTAGGGCCGTCACTGATCAATTTTTTATCAAAATTTACCAAAATTTTAAAATAAGTTTGACGTTTTAGATCATTTGTCGTTTAACATAGTGACCGAGCATATAGATGTTTGATAAAAAAATAAACTCACTTACAGTGGAAAACAATATTGAAAATTATATTTAAAATTATTCAAAAACAGATATCAATAAACACATGTGATTCATCTCCACTATTCTAAGTTTTTAAAATAATTAAAACACTATGATCTAAGAGGTAGTCAAATATGTATAAAATCTCGCGCTACGTCAAATTTTCAATCAAATATTGATTTTTCGGATGGGGTTTGCATTTAACATTGTATCTTAGCATCTAAATTTATTAAATCAAATCTAGGTATTGCTCTCTATCGATGGCATGAAAATATAAACGTTTGATTAAAAAAATAAAAAATCTAGTGCATAAAAAAAATTAACGTATAAATTTAAAGATGCTTTTTATTAAGACTATTTAAAAATAAAGAATCTCTTGAAAATGCAGTTATACTTCGTAGTAATGCAATAACTACGAATAGAATTATTTTATGATTTACTTTAAAGAGATGCGTGTTAGATTTTGATTTAAATTTCAAATAAGCACACACGTGTTAGATCCTAACACGTGTAACTTTTTCAAAGGTTCAACATCTCCCCACCTTGTCTTATTTATAGGAAACTGCCCATCAAAGGAGGGATTGAGAGTATACTTTCCGGTTTATTAATTGACAGGGAAGGCATTATTTCAAGCTAGATAAAATGGGTGGCGATAGGGTATTTACGTCTCTGCTAGTGGCGGTTCTTGTGGCGGTGACAGTTGGGGCTCAAGAGGTTCAAGGCCCAGTGCACCATGTAGTAGGCAGCGACCGCCGTTGGAACGCTGATTCCGACATCGGTTCTTGGTTGTCCGGTCGAGTCTTTAGGGTTGGTGACAGAATTTGTAAGCACGTATCTTCTTTATGTTTGGTTTTTACTTAAAAATATTATCTTTTTTAGGAAAAAAAATAAAAAAGCTCAGCGGTAAGTGTTGAAAGTTCACATATAAGCAACTTAATTAAGCTCACTCCAACGATGGTTTATGCAGGGTTCACCTACTCAGCACCACAGGAAAGCGTTGTGGAGTTGCAGAGCCTGGAGGAATTTCAATCGTGTGATCTCTCAAACCCTATCAAGATGTACACGGACGGTGTAAATCAAATTCCACTTGAAAGGGAAGGGAGCAGGTACTTTGTGATTGGGAACCAGGAAAGTTGCAATAATGGTCTGAAGCTACACGTTGATGTGAAGCCTTCCGATCTACAGGAGCTACCTAACCCTAATCCATGGCCGCTGCCGAATCCGACACCATTTCCTCCGCAGCCTAAGCCGGAGCCTCCACCAAAGCCTGAGCCTGAGCCGACCACTCCACCCCCCTCTGCCTCGACCCAATTGAGTGGGCTTTCGTTTGGGCTGTTTGTTGGTCTTCTGCTTTGCTTGTTGGGCCTGTAGTTTGCCCGTTTCTGAAGGATCTGTCTGGATTGTTTAGTAATTGGGAGTTTAGTTGAACTTGTTTAAATAAGTATCTGCTTTTGTTTGTGCTATTAAACAAAACCACATCGCTTGGTTGTATTTGAACCAATTTTATTGGGTTCTATCATCTATGTGAGATTGTTCCAGTCTTTGCTAATGGGATATTTTCCAGTTTGGAATGACTATTTTGCCCATATAAGAGAATTGGTTAAAGGCATGATCTTTTCATCTTGCAAAATAAAGAAAGGCCTTCATCTATTTTCACTGCAAATCACAGTAAGCAGGTAAAGGAGCACCCCTCCCCCTGAAACGTACTGTATTGTAGAGTTAATTGTTCCAAGGGTTATTGAATTTAGGTTCATATTTTTTATTGGTCATTGAAGTATGAAATGTCAAATTTTGGTCACTTAATTTAGGTTTATGTTTTTTATAAGCTGAAATTTAAAATATTGAATTTTGAAAAATATTGTACATTACTTATTGAACTTTAAAAATGTTGTACATTATTTATTCATTATGAACTTGATAATTTTTTAAAGTTCAATAGTTATGTTAGTGAATAACGTACTGTATATTACTGAATAATATCATTTTAATAAAGAAAGTATGATTAAAAATGAGTACTGTAAAAAAAATAATGAAAAAAAATAAAAGAAAATGAATGACAAACAAGGGCTAAAATAAAAAAATCTGATAATCACGTTATCAACGATGAAACCGCAGCAGAAAACTTATTACAATCACAAGTTTGGAATCATGAACTACATACATTTGAGACAAACAACGAAGAAAGAAGCAAATTTATAGAACTTTTTGTCCAGCAAACCAACGATCCTTAATAGCAAGCAAACGATATCAGTGCAAACAAAAAGCAAGCTTTGAGACCCATTTTTACGAAAAAATGCATTTTAGAATAGTAAATTAATGAAAAATGTGTTTTTAAAAAATAAAGAAATTTTTTTGATTTATGTGTAATATTATTTTAATAAAGAATTTGTGATTGAAAAGAAAAGAGAATAAAATGTATTTTAATAAAAATGTGAATCAAACAAAGTATTAATGAGAGTAACTCATTCCCGATAAAAATTTACCACTCGCCTAAGTTTGAATATCTTTTACCACCCACAAGAAAGACTTCGAACTCAAAATATTAGCATCTTTGAAAATATAACCAAGCTGCCAGATATTAACAAGATACAGAATATTGTTTAAAACACTCTTCAAGAAATGTAAACGATTACAAAATTCTTCCACACCTCTCTTATTCAATAATAACAAAGAAAAATAAAAGCTTCAGAACAAGTTCAACATTTATGCATCCACGAATTTGCCAAATAAAACTTCGAAGGTGCTTGAGGATGTAACATTCTTGTGATCGATATAGTTTACCTCTCTCTCAAAACTACGTAGTTTGCCTCTTGAGTCTTCTGTATTTTTGATATTCTTCTAAGCGTAGCCGCAAAAGCATCCTTGTCCTGCATTTAAGTAATTTACATAATTGTATCATAAGCCATATATCGTCCTACATTTAAGTAATTTACATAATTGTATCATAAGCCATATATCTTGCATTAACACGTTAACGTACTCAACTATTAAGCATAAAAAAAAAAAACTCTCTCTCAACTAGTAATCCTCAATAACCCAAAAAGAAAAGAAACCATCAAGTTAAATAATCATTGAATGACGCATCTCTTACCTCTTTTGACTTCAGTCTAGATTTAAATTTGCCAACAAGATCCTGTGTGGTCACTTGCGTCTTCTGCAATAAAACGGCCTTAATTTCATCTGCTGTAACTGGTCCAGTAGGTGGCGTAGCCCCAGTTTTTGAATGTGCCGAAGGTAATACACTTTTAGGAGGTGTACTACTTTTTGCTGCAGACGCACTCTCATTTTTCAAGGACTTCAGCTCCTTAATCACCATCCCCGGAAAAAATATACATGAATAAGAAAAATAAAGAGGGAAGGCTATGGTGAAATTTTCTAGAAAATAAAAGATGGTAAATAAGTTCCATGTGAAATACACTGTAAGGCAACTACTTACATTTTCTGTTTTTGTTTTCTTCATAGGTGTAGCATTAGTTGTTTTCGACTCCTCACCACTAACTTTTCTTTTCCCCTTTGAAGATTTAGAAGTAGGCGGGGTTCCTCGACCAGATCCAGAAGTAACAGCTTTCAATGGACTGTTGTTCTCAACCGGTTCTTCTTTAAGAGCTTCCTTCTTTGGGGCAAGTACAGGAGAAATGTCATCTTCCATCTAATAAAACAAACAAAAAATGCACTCTTGTTTTCAAGCTAGTAAAAGAAAAATGAGGTGAACTATAACTCCTTACAACTTTTGCCAAACTGCCAAAGTAGATAGCAAATAAAAAGTTGCTATCAGGTAAAAGTTGCTATCACTCAACCAAATGCAGCCATCAGGGGACAAAATAGCACGAGGAAAGTCAGTGCTGAAGACTAAATTTAAATAAATATATTTGTCCCTGCCTTTTAATAGTTTAAGCCTTTAGACCTGAGTTCAAGTCTCTTCATCAACCATTTATGAGAACTGTACATATGTTTTGACGAAAAGATGAATCCAGCCTCCACATGAGGAGACATGTTGTATACAATTTAAACAAATCAAGCCTAAGCTTTAGATGAGATGGATCAATAGTCATAGCACCCAGAAGGAAGCAGGGTTCGGTTTGTCTACACGTGTTCCTTAAAAATACAGCATTCTTTGGGAACCATTGTAACAGAACTGCATATAACTTCTCCAAGTGATGAGTTATTTCATTTTAACCCCGTCAAGATAAATGGAGATTTGCAGTATTATATATAATTTCGTTCCTCATTACATTTAGAGAATAGCAACAAGAAACCTACATCGTCATCGTCGTCATCGTCATCTTCCCCATCCGAGTCACTCAACCCATTAGCTCTTCCGAGCAGTTTCTTCAACTCCTTTCCAGATTTGCTCAGCCCGCCCTCCTCTTCATCAGCTTCATCCTCATCCTCTTCATCCTGAAACAAACCAAAAAAGTCAGAAATATAACACATGAGACCATGGATCTCGTTACAACAGAACCATCAGGACTGGAGAAAATGAAGACTGAACAATCATTTGTTAACATTTAATGGATAGAGTCAACCTCCAACAAGATATCATAATCCAACTTCAAACTAATCATATTCCAGAAAGGGAACTGAACTTTAGGAAGAGGATAAGAGTTACTTTTCAATATGAAAAGTAAAAAAGAAAGGAACGAAGACATCTCAATATTTATAGGCACTTCACCAGATTTGAAAATGAATGCTGATTCTTGTGACATATAGTATGTTTATTTTCCCCAATATTCCAATAAAATTAGTAAATATTTTTCCTCCTCCAGGATATGCCTTACTGTAAAGGTACCTTGTCAACAAAAATTACACGTAAGTACCTCACGAAGTACCATCCAGCCAATGTGTCAATTACCACTAATTGGCTTAGAGCAAATGATCTCGGGGCATTAAGCACCTTCAAGCGACGTTATGCATCTCAAAAGGAGTAACCTAAAAACCCAGTAAAAGTTGTAAACCGTGTCGGCGGGGTTCAGCTTTTATTACTAGATCTCTGTATTTGACCCCTAGGCACAAAATTCCACCCTCCTCTGTCTCTGATGAAAGGTTTAATGAAGCATTTTCAGTAACTAAGATTACCATTTCTCTATAATTTGTAACTTTCTGCAATCTGGAAGGGATTGCACACCTCATTATCGTCTTAAATAAGAGCATTTACCATGTGGACTTGATTGCACTCAATCCTCAATTACTTTCTATCAATTTGCAGAGCTAAACATACCCTATACCATGCAATGCATTTTTCTAGCCATTGTTTCATGTCAGGATCATTAAGTCTAGAGGCACAAAGGTAGGGATCAACCAATAGAATGTGAAAGAAAGAAACAAATTAAGTAATTATTTTGCATATATTTACATGGACTGGAGCAATATGATTAATCACCTGCTTAATTTCTGGAGGAGCTGGGATTTCAGGGGCCAAATCTTCTCTCTCCTCGGGATCATTGCCGACAGCTTCATCGTCATCAGTGAAAATTTCTTCATGCTCCCAATCATCACCTAGAGAATAAAAAATCAACTCTCTCCTTATGAAAGCACCTCAGCAAGGAATATGATGCAGCAACTTATAAGATTGACATATCTACCTCATCAAAGTATCCAAAGATACAAGTAGCAGAACATGCATATTCACTTGATTGTACTAGTAGGAATAAAATATGATGAACAAGCACTCACGAAAATGATCCAACATATAAAATGCTATCACTAATTATTTCTGAGGAAAATATATTGCCAGACAACTCTTCACACAAAACAAACATGGGCACACAGACAGAGAGAACCCCACTCAATGACTGCAGGTGATAGTTCACCAAAATTCTTACTGTCCCAACTATAGGCACATGGGGGCATGGGAACAGCTGATTTATCACCCTTTTTTGACAGCCTATGACACAACAAAATCTCAAACGAGTGCTAGAGGCACAAAACCTTTTAAGAATGCAATAACAAAGTAATTACAGAAACCAGACCCTTTTCAATATCATCATCATCAAAATCAAGATCACCGCCTCTTGGTCCTTCTTCATCATCATCCCCACCCTTTTTATTGAGTCCGAGCCTACTTTTTCTAGCTGCCTCTTCTTCTTCATCTTCTTCTCCCCTATCTGAAACATTGGTTTCATCATCATCCTCAGCAGATTTTTTACGTCCCCTCGCACTACCACCTCCACTTTCCCGATCATCAAGCTTTTCTACTTCACCAAAGGCGGCAGCTCCATTGTTTGCCGCTTTCATCATCCATCTTTGGTACCCATCGGCAGTTTTCCTCCTATTTTTCATCTTCTCTTCCGCTTCCTCCAAAGTAAGTTGCTTATATTGTGCCACTTTGTTAAAATTGTACCTAAAAACAAGAGACAACAACAAACTATGTCATGTTCCCAATAAAAATATATGATCAGCCAAAAGGAAATGAAATTTCAAATACTTGATACACTAATATAAATACGAAATACTAGACAAATAGGAGAATTTTTACCAGGAACCAGCAGGAATGGCTACAAATTCCTTTCCCTGAAGCATTAGAAGGTAATATGTAGTTGATTGTGAACCCTCAAGCTGACCGTGGTATTGAGACTGGCCAGTTTCATCCTCCAGCAGCCAAGGCTTATTCTTGTACTTATCCTAGCAATGCAACAAGCTCATAAATAAAAATATACGAGAGTGTGGAAAGCAACACATCCAATCATCATGAGACAAAGTAAACGAACTAATCAAATGTCTATACTTGGATGATGAACTAAAAATAAAATAAATGGCCTATCTTCACTAATTTGCATATTACCAAATTGGAGTCATATATTGATTTTTGACTACTAACCAATAAAGAGCTCTCATAATTGCAGGGGAATGCGATAAATTTTTGGCGTTGCTTAACTTCTAGCTTACAAGTGCTAAAAATTGCATTGTTTACAAGGCAAAGCAGATACCCCAAGCAACAAATCAACAAACTGGCTTCATGTATTAAAAGAAAATTTTATTCAACAGGCATGTATCTATTTAGTTTATAATGTATCGAGAGATTCTAGCAGCAAATGCAAAATTGTTTGAAAAAAAAGGTACCTTCAAGGCATCAGTAATTTGGCGACCTTGAAGACCCTCTTTCTGCAGAGACCATTTATTCTCGTTCTTCTTCTTAAAAGTTGGTAAACCCGTCGCAAATCTTCCAATGAAGTAATTTTTGTCATTACTGGAGCATGATCTGACATTGTATTCCTAAATATGCCAAAAGTTAACAGCCAATTTCAGAAAGCATTCATGATAAAAGACATGGAAAAAGGTAATGACTAATAACGTGGTACACTTGAATAAAATGAACTTAAATGCATTCTACAGACCATGAGCAGCAAAAGAAAAGGAAATTCGCCATGCAAGCAAGAAAGCAAACTCTGAAAAGTGGACAAATCAATTCAGTATAGCGGTTGGCAAAAATCTAAATTCAGGGATACTCCTTTTATCATTTTCCAGTAGAGTGTTCGCATTTATTTTATTTTTTCAGGAATATCATTCTATACACAGTGGTAGCTGAGTCTCAATTTTGATCCTTCTGTTTATCAGGTAAAAAAAATATGTGTTTCATAGCAATAATCAAAGAAAATACTCAAAATTAGATTCTCTCGTTTTTCTACAGAGTTTTCAAGACAAACAATTTACTGTAAACATAAGGCTAATAAGTAACTCCCAAATGTATACAATTGCACAGTAAGAGTGATAACTTCAAAACTTGCAGAAGTCTCCGCTCTCACTAAATTAAACCTCAAAAAAACACCTTCACAATTTCAGCTCTCCAGAGAGTATAAACGCCAATAAAATGTTCAAGACAAAGATGTAAGACGAGTATTCACATATTCAATTAATAATTAATCATGGTTTTGTTTCATTTTTAATCAGAGAGAAGGAACCACCAACCCTAATCAAGCGAGTGATGCGAGTGCCACATTCGTAGCACTCCGCGCGGTTCTCAGCCATGGTTTTGCCACACGTCATGCAAAGCGTCAAGTGCTTGCAGGTGCTGCCATAAAGATCCACCGTCGATCCACAACCACTGCACGACGGCTTCAGTATCAAATCTATAGACATTTTCTTTGCTAATTCTATTTTCCTGCATCAGACAAACAATATTGTTATAATTCAAAAACTCGCAGACGAATTTAAACAGTTATAATCAAGGATCAGTTGAGATGGAAAATTGAAGCGGAAATATTAGGGTTTTGATGAATCCATAATCATTTTTCTAAATTGGGGAAAATAGAAGCATAAGTTGTAATATGCCTTGATTGATTCAATTACAGTTTTTCTTGTCCAAGAAATTTGAATTTATTTTTAATCTGACTTTCCTCGTTACCAATTCTGGTGGTTTTGATCAACGAAAAGGGTAACCTTTCTATGAGAATTTGAAGAGATTGGACCGGGTTTTTATAAAGGAAATTAATGGTCCTCTTTCTCTCCGTTTGTCTCCCTCCAGTGGTTTCCAATTTTAACTAGAGTCGCGTTTGTTAGGGAATATATAAATTCCTATGAAAATTAAAATCAGATTTTTAGAAAATTTTAATAAAAATATATGAAATTTATGGTTGAAAAATTGTGGCCATAAAATATGTGATTAAAATTAATTTTCTCTTTGATTTGAATTAATTTCCACCAAATAGGGGATAATTTCAATTAGGGTAATTAGTACATCTTCCAATGTTATTGTGCAAAATGTCATTACTTTTTCATTTTTCAACATTTTTACCTATCCAATTTATCAATAAAAAAAATGTAAAATAACAAATATGCTCTCCCATTTGAATAAACCAAAAAAAAAAAAAATAGAAGATAAAAATCAGAATGCAGATTATAATTATACGCTCAAACTTTAAAAAAAATGCAAATGAACAAAAATAAATTATTAAAAAGTTAATTAGTACAAAAAATCAATATCTTTCAATATTAGAACATCCAAACATTTCACTTTTTGTCATTTTCAGCATTATTTTTATATTTTATTGCAAAAATCATTAATTTCATCAATTTTTTAATTAAAAACTATAAAATGACGAATATACCATCTTATTTATATAAAACAAAAATAAAGAAAGGAAAAATAAAGAATAAATTATAATTATACTTTCAAAATTTTTTAAAATGTACGAGTAAATTTTAAATAAATAATTAAAAAAAGGTCCTTTTTTTTTTTTTTTCATCTGAGATACGCACATGTAGCATGTTTAGGTAAAATGTTTAGCAAGCTAGGTACATGTTAATTCCGCGTGCGGCATACCCGTCGGCTTTCCTCCAAAGTTGGCTGCATTGGGATCGGCAACAACGATCGCGCCACGCTCAGCCGTTGATCTCATCTACCACTCCTCACGATCTTCTCCACTGCTATAAATTGATCACTTCGTACTACTTCTACAGTACAATTTCTCTCACCTCTGTCGCTCAAAACTTACTTCCGACTTCTCGCTGCTATGGCGCTGACCTCATTCGTCGAGGTCCAATCGGATTCTCATGTCGCTATTCAGAACCTTCCGTACAGTGTGTCCAAGCTCGAACACGATTCGGAGCCTAGGCTCGGTGTTGCAATTGGAGAATATGTATTGGACCTCTCTGTAATTGCCTCGGCCGGTCTTTTCGATGGTCCGGTTCTTAAAACTCCGATTGTTTTAATAAGGTGTTGGGAAAATATTTCATCATACCAAGGGTTGGAGAAGAAACACAAAATATGAACCATTAACCAATCACCGAATTTGGAACAACATCAATCAAAATCAGAAAGTTAGCAACATGAATCTTGCAACAAAGAAGGCTTGAACACGATATCGCTGTTCTCAAACGGTATTTGCCCCCTCTCCTTTTATTGAGATGCTTCAAGGGATCTTCGACAAATGGTTTGTAGGATTATAACAAGCCTTGTAAGAGATTAAATACCAAAGCACAAGTGTAATCTCCCAAAACTTGAAAAACACAATGAAGGAAATTATGAATATGAAGAAAAAAAGGATGTTTAATCCTTTTGTGGAATGAAGTATTATGTTTCCAGATTTTTTCATAGTGATTTTCATGTCAATTAATCACATATATATAGGTATGAAACATTGTATCACGAAATGGTGCCAAATGAGAGTGAAAAGCCGCCAAAATCAAATCACAATCGTCTCTAACGGTCACGGCGGGACTACCATGCGACCGCATGGCACAACTCCATGCGGCCGCATGGAGGACTTTACTCACGGGACCTTAGTCCCTGCACATGGCCATTTTGCCCACGCGATCGCATGGGCCAAACTTTGGCCTCCGTTTTGCATTTTCATTCCACCTCGGTTCTTATTGATTGTTGAACAAATATATAACATAAGGTTCGTTTATTTCTCCTTTACTAAGTGATCGATGATTGGAGAGTTGGTTTATTTTATATTCGAACTTTGAAGGGAAATCTGCATGTATTTAAATTTTACGGGTTTATCTTTAATTTTAGGAAAGTAAATTTAAGTATGATTTATATTATTTATTATTTTAGTTTGACAAGTAATGGAGCATTGAATGTATTACTGGGTGAGTGCATACAGGGCCGGTCCTATCAGGGGCGGATCCAGACGACTTGGGCTAGGGGGATAAAAATAAAATTTATAGAGTATCTTCTAATAAAAAAACTAAGGAAAAAAAAAGCTAAGCAATAATTTTTTTTTGCCCCAAAATCTAGGGGGTCAATTGTCCCTATAAACCCCCCTAGGTCCGCCCCTTGGATCATGTGATTGTCGAGGCCCAAGGCAAAGCATATAAATTAGGCCCTCTCCCGAAATCAACGTAAATGCAATGGTGTATTATGCAATTTATTGCTAACTTAAAATTTAACGTTAAAACAACAAACAGATATATTATATAAAAAATTTATATTATCAAATAACAAAACCAAAATATTTCAAATAATTAGTCAAATATTATTCGTCTAAAAGGCAAAAACATTAATAAAATCTGAATAGTGTAGCTGTTCAACTATTTCTTTCTCTATTGATAACATAACCAATCCATTCTATCTTTCTTCTGACATAGTTGATCGTACAATAATTAATCATATAAACCAACCAAGCTACAATTATATAAGCTGACAAGGCTCCAAATATTTTCAATCTCTTAAATAACAAGTTAGGAAAAACCAATGCTTACTTGAGAAGCAGAATTGCGGCGAAAACTGTGGAATCACACACTCGAGAATTCCATCGTCATAACTTACGAACCTGAAACAAAAATTTAAGATCAAATACCAATACTTAAAAATAGGCGCATATGTAGTCAAGTTTAGGGAAATAACACATTTAATAAGAACTAATCACCGTTAAAACAGTTTCATCAACAAAATAAATTAATTCAAATTAGTGTATTGGTTGCAAAAACTGAAGATATCTTTTCTTGAGTTCATTGACATAATAATATCTTAAGTTCTCAACTATATATTCTCACAAGGATCTATCAAACTAAGTTATTGAAATTAACTATAAACTATTTTACACATTAGTCGTTACTTGAGATTTGAGAGTTCTTCATCTCAAACTTGTACAACAAATTATATATTAATCAATAATCATTAAACATAGTTGTAGCATTTTCAGGTCTCGACTCCATCCTAGACTAGATAACAGTTAACCCATTAATGTTAAAGTATTTAACAGTAACATAGAAAAAGAGCATTTATCAATTAAAGTCAAGTAATCAAAATTATAATAATTAAAAGGTTAAAGCCATGAATGAATAGTTGAATACTTAGTATAAATGTAATCATATAACTCAAAAGGAATTAATAATCTTAACATACTGAACTAACAGCCAACTGCCAAGCACTTGCTTGCTAACAGGGGTGAACAGCAAACTGTGCTTTGCAGAGGAACGGAATCGGTGTGAACTACGACGGTGTCCGATTCCGTGGACCGCGACTGATGGCTCAAAGGAAGAGGAAATCTGGAAGTCGGAATGAGGAAGTCGAGACGAGAGACAGAGGTGAACGGCTATGCTGCGAAGGGGACGGACTACTCAGACGAGCATTTGGGAGAAAGGGGTTTTTGATTGGGGATTAGGAAATTGGGAAGTTTGGGTAAATGATGGATAATGGATTATGATTTATGGATGTATAAGTTGGGTAAATGGATTAAGACTAAGGGTATTGGATTTGGGCTTGAAGTTGAGGGATACTCTTCTTCATCACTGAGTTTGGTTCAACTGAAAAAAAAAATAATAATAAAAAATAAAATTCTGGGCTGAAAATGAGGCCCCCTTGGAATCTGGGCCTGAGGCGTAGGCCTCATTCGCCTGGCCCCAGAACCGGGCCTGAGTGCGTATATATTACTGGAATTAATAGAAATAATCATGTTCTTCATATCTTTGTTTAAAAATTGTAAAAGAAATGACACGAGAGTTAAATAATGAATTTAGCATTTATATGATTTTAGAGTCCCGAGTTCCCAGAGAACTCAAATTGGAGTATGACAAGCATCTTTTAAGCTAAGCCTACATATGTATTTTATTTATATCCTCACCCGTATCATTTAAGTTTTCATAAATATGAAAAAACATAAGAATACTGATAATATTCTACCAGCTGAACATGTAATTGTATTTGTATGCCGTGCTTGAGTCGTATTGTTGTACATTTCTTTGACTAGATATTTAGGAAAGGATGCATACAAGTGTACATTCTGTTACCCATGTGTATGTAGTGTATCGTTAATGGTGGGTGATTAATTAAGCTATGGCACAGCTAAATCTTAACAAGTTCGCGGGGTTGGGATGCCCTGCATGGAAGGAAGCTCGTGCGAAATTGCAAAAGCTATTGTCAGGTAAGTTCTTACCACCCCTTCTTAGGCAGTATTTTGTGTTACAGATTTTTATATTTCTAGCTTTATGTATCAAACACAACAAAATATGAAAGATATGGGCTCAAAAGTTTTCAAATTTGTTCTTGGCTCCCTGCATATTAGACATAATCGAAAGCTTGTCTATTTTGCTTTTCAATAATGCAGCCACAGAACCAACACTACGTGATAACCCGTGTTTAAGGCAAAAGGCGCTGGTGCCTATGGTAGGGCATGCACACATCTTTCATCTTTTAAGGGAATATTGTGCCTCTGAATTTCTCTATGGTCCTCTTTGCTACATTTTTGAAACACCAACTACTGCCTCAATTTTCTGAACATGCCCTTGTGCCAGGAGTTATACTTTTATTTTTATTGCTGGCATATACCTGCAGTTTGCTAGATCACTGAAAACCTTTAATCACACAAAGCGCAACATGTTAATAGAAAGGATTTAAACAACTTCATAATTAATATGTCTTAAAAACTTAGAGCATCTCCAAAAAACTCTTTATTTATAAAGAGTATTTTATACATAATAGAAAGTATCTTTAAATTTAGAAAGTAATTTTTTT